GGGTTTAATATTTTTCCTAGAACTTTTTTTTTTTTTTTTTTTTTTTTTTTTTTTTTTTTTTTTTTTTTTTTAAAAAAAAAAAAAAAAAAAAAAAAAAAGGAAGAATGATAAGTAGAACTGCAAAGCTGTATCTTTTTCGGCCGCCTTTTACTCAGAAAGACCCCCGCCTAGAAACCCTGGCTAGATGAGATGGCCTCTGAAGCAAACGGAAAAAATATGGTGCTGAATATCGAAATGCTCAGAAAATAAAATCGCCCGTTGCTTCCAGAGCAGCGACTTTATTTTGCACGCCTCTGAAAGAACGGGTAAGCATCTCGGCCTTTAGCCTATAAATTAAAGTTATTTACAAAAAAAATGGCTATGGCTTAAATAAAACCCCGTTCCTGGTGCATTTCAGCATTCTCCGTGGGCAGCGTTAGCCATAAAATCAAGACAGCGTTTAATAAAAAAAAAAAAATATTGGCAGGCGCTAAAAGGCCGTTTGTTGCCATTCATAACTTTTAGATGCGTTTTAATGCACTTTAATGATGATTTGAAGAGATGGCTTTGCTCATTCTCGGCCGGTAAAGGAGTCCAAAGAGAAGAGGGGGGGACCAGGGGGTGCCTTGTCCCCGCGGACCCCTGGGGAGGGACCGAGGGACCCCGGCCACGGCCGCGGGGGTCCGGCCACGGGTGTTTTAATCACGCCGTGAGCCCTTCCTTGCCCCCCGGCCCCCTCCCCCTTGATTCATGAACGAGGGTAAGAAATGCAAATGTTCATTAAGTCTTTCCTCCCTCCCTCCTCCCTCCGGCCTCCCTCCCGCCTCCGCACCCCCTTCATACACCTCAGAAAAAAAAAAAAAAAAAGAAAAAGAAAAGAGATTTTTTTTTTTTGTGCTCCAGTGAATAGCTTCAACATGGCGTGCTGAAAGGCAGAAGCTTTGCCCGTTCCTAGATCTGAGCTGTGATTAAACGTCCCCAAAGAGAGCATCTCTCTTCCTCCCGCCGCTCCCCCCTCCCTTCCCTCCCCAAAGCGTAGAGGAAAGCGCCCTCTTCTACGTAGGAAAGGTCAAGTCCTACAACGCACAACCCACGGTCATTACTGTACTGTGACCCGGGGTGTACTGGGGAGGAACGGCCGGGTGTCCCGTGATCAAAAACACTGGGACTTTTTTTTTTTCTTTTTTTTTTTTTTTTAGGAATTAGACAGCATTTTAGCTTCCTGCAATCACCTTGTGTGCAAACCGCCATCGGAAATCCTAAGGGACCAGGAAAAAGAGAAAGAGAGAGAGAGAGAGAGAGGAAAAAAATAAATAGCAATAATAATAGTAATAGTAACAGCAATAATCGTCATTAGCCTGTGATATTGCTGCTTTTTTGTCTGAAGCTGGCAGGAAGGACGGTGTGCCCTAGTGGCTAGATTTCTCTGCGTCTAAAGGCAGACCAACAACAGCTTGAGCAAAAAAAAAAAAAAATAATGTAAAAACCCAAATCAACAGCAACCCAAGTCACTGAGAGATGGAGAAGGAATGTTCTGTGGACCGGGTATATTGAATCTAGAAAGGGAGGAAACAAAACAAAACAAACCAAAAAGTGCAATCCATCCTCACAGCTCTGGAGGTCTGCAGCCCAGCGCGGGATCCCGGCTGTCAGTCACCGTGGGGATATATTTTTTTGCGCAGGCGAGAGACTTCTGGATGCTGGGGTAAGATTTTCATGCTCTTCCTGGAGGCGGCTGAATGTTTCTCCTCTCCCCCTGCTCGGCGGTGAACTCAGCAAACAAGCCAACAACAAACACTCACCCCCCCCGTCCCCCGTCCCCTCCCAAAGCCCCCTGCATGACTGAAGCAAAGGCGTTTGGAAGGCCTTTGTGGAGGCTTTC